TTTTTTAATCCAGTCTACTAATCTATGATGTTTGATTGAGCTTAAGCAATTTACATTCAGAGTTAAATACACATCGGTGGTACTTTGGTCCTGTCATTTTAGGAATGGGTTGTTCATTGATTTAGTCTTCTGTTGTCATTTTACTGGGATGTTCTTCACATTTGCCTTTGGTTTTGGTAGGTGCTATTCCTCTTTTCTGTCAAGAGGACATCTTGAAGTATCATTTGTAGGGAAGGTTTGGAAGAGGCAAATTCTTTTAACTTTTCTTTACTGTGGAAGAATTTTATTTCATTTTCAAAGATGAAAGAAAGCTTTGCTGGGTATGTTATCCTAGGCCGACAATTTTTTTCTCTCAGATATTGTATTTGTTTTGTGGCTTTTCATTTAAGGGAAGGTATAGTAGTTGTGTAATGGAGAATGTCATATCTAGTAACATGTCATTTAACTTCATGGCATTGTAAATTTCGATTTTTCTTTCTATTGTTGATTTTGCACCATGACTTTTCACTTAAGGGAATGTACAGTAGTTATGTAATGGAGACTAACAACCTGATGTGAGGATGCAGTGTGGTATGCATTTCTGTTTCCAGACAAAGATGGACTTACAGTGAAACTGTTTATATTATATTTTGACAATAGGATTCTGGACTCTCAGCCATTGTCCATGCCCGTAATGATGAACATATGACTGAGTATGAAGAACTATATGTTAGTAATGATATAAAGGAACTGGGGGGAGGGAATTAGGGAGGGGATGAGGGAATATGGAACTGTATCATAAAATGATAGCAATAATAATAAAATGTGAAAAAAAGATTTATCTCTCTCCTCTCTAACTCTGTCTTGCAATTAAATAATCTTTTAAGAATCCAAAACACACACACAGGAGATGAATTGGGAGTGCTGTGACAATTAGAAAAGAACCAGACTGTGAAGTGAAAGAGGAAGGGAGAAGCTTTAGGAGAGAACGAACCAATGAAAGTCTCTGGCAGTGTGGTTCCAGAAAGGTATTAGTAAGTATAACTCTGTAATATTCACATGGTTATTTTTGTTCTTCAGTGTTAACTCTGCCACAATTCCCCCTGTAAGTGGAATTCCCCCACTTCCCTAAAACTTTGGTCAGGTTTGTTGAAAAATAAGTCATTCCTCATGAGTTTTTGTGAAAATAAAAGTTCCACATGTGAGTTGATGGGTTCAAGAGAAACCAGGCAAAAGATGACAAGACTGTGATAAAAAAAAAAAAAAAAACAAGTCAAGAACATTTCTAAGGAATTCATAGAGGCTTTAAGCTGAGGCCAGCACCACAGCTATGGGGCTAAACTGTCACATGCTACACCAGCATCCCATATGGATGCTGATTGGAATCCCTTACTACTCCACTTCCGATCTGGGATGGCCAGTGGGCTTTACCTGATGCATGTGTGTCCTGTGCCAGACATTGTTTGGAGTTTAGGATATAAAGTCCCTGCTCAGCCCAGAGCTGACTTACATTCCAGTGGGAGGGACACATAATAAGCAAACGTATAACATGCTACCCAAGTATCATGGTTCTAAGAAAATCAAAACAGGATGAAGAGCCATGAAGAGAGCAGGACTTTATAGGATTGCCATTGAAGGGTCTGCTCAGTGCCATTTTTATACAGTGATTAGTGAAGACAGGAAACAGACTGCAGATTCAACTCAAAGGACATCCTAAAAGTGAAGCAGGAAAAGTAGGTGAGAGGGAGGGACAGTAGGACACAGACAGCTATCTCAATGAGTCAGTGAGTGCATGAGTAAGTGAGCGAGCTTCTGGTGCATCATGATCTCAGGTGTGACGAGAGCAGCGCATAGATGAATGGGGCCCTGTAGTTTACTGAGACGGTCCAGAATAATGGCAGACATGAAGCGCCTGATAATAATTCATGAAAATTTTAGTTTTCATGCATATGACAGAATTTATAGTATTTAAAATGTTCAGCCCAATTGTTTTATTATTGTTATAAAAATGTATTTCTTTGAAAAGTAGAGTTACAGAAAGAGGAGATATTTTGTCCTCTCATTCCTCCCCAAGTCCAGTACCCCAATGCGAGCCCCATCCCAGTTGATTTTTCCTGCACATATCTTATGATCCCTTTATCATTGCTCTGTTTTTGTTTCCTAAAACAGTAACAGTTGGGGGCCCGGCGCGGTGGCGCAGTGGTTAAGGTCCTTGTCTTGCACGCCCGGGATCCCATATGGGCGCCAGTTCTAATCCCGGCAGCCCCGCTTCCCTTCCAGCTCCCTGCCTGTGGCCCGGGAAAGCAGTCAAGGACGGCCCAAAGCTTTGGGACCCTGCACCCGCTTGGGAGACCCGGAGGAGGCTCCTGGCTTCGGATTGGCATAGCATTGACCGTTGCACTCACTTAGGGAGTGAACCATTGGACGGAAGATCTTCCTCTCTGTCTCTCCTCTATATCTGCCTTTCCAATAAAAAACAATAAAAATAAATCTTGAAAAAAAAAAAAACCAGTAACAGTTGGGAATAATTTGAAATAATCTTGGAAATGAGACCTAGCGGCAAACATGCAATACATTTATGTGTGATACACATCATATACGCTTATCCAAAAGGTGTTATTTATTTATGTGAAAGGCAGAGTGACAGAGGGGCAGGGAGGAGGGAGAGTGAATCTCCCAACCACTGGTTCACTCCCCAACATGCCCGCAACAGCACAGGCTAGGCCAGGTGGAACCGCAAAGCCAGGAGCTATATCAATATGTCTCATGTGGATAGCAGGATGCTGAATACTTGAGCCACCTTCTACCGCCTCCCAATTTCATTAGTGGGAAACTGGATTGGAAAGAGTAGCTGGGACTCAAATCAGGATTCTATTATGAAATACAGGCATCCTAAATCGTGGTTTAACTCGCTTCGCTGTGATGTCCTGTCTTGGAACCAACTAATCTGAAGATACATCCTCAAGTCAAAATTTTACTTTTGTGTGTGTGTGTTTTGTTTCTATTTACATGACTTTACCTAAATATACCATTGTCTATTGGAATATGGTGTGGTTATTTTTTAAAGATTCATTTATTTTTTACAGGAATGGCACACAGAGAGAAGCAGAGATCTAGAGAAAGATCTTCTACCCGCTTGTTCATTCCCCAAATGGCCTCAAAGGCTGGAGCTGAGCCAATCCGAAGCCAGGAGCATCTTCAGGGTCTCCCACATGGGTGCAAGATCCCAAGGTTTTTTTGGACCATTCTCCACTGCTTTCCCAGGACATAAGGAGGGAACTGGATAGGAAGTGAAGCGGGGGCCCAGCACAATAGTCTAATGGCTAAAGCCCTCACCTTGCATGCTCTGGGCACGGGTTCATATCCTAGAGACCCTGCTTCCCATCCAGCTCCCTGCCTGTGGCCTGAGAAAGCAGTCAAGGATGACCCAAAGTCTTGAGAACCTGCACCCACGTGGGAGACCTTGGAAGAGATTCCTGGCTCCCGGCTTCAGATTGGCTCAGCTCCAGCCTTTGCAGCCGCTTGGGGAGTGAACCATCAGGTGAAAGAACTTTCTCTGTCTCTTTCCCTACATGTATATCTGCCTTTCCATTAAAATAAATAAATCTTTTAAAAAAAATAATAAAGAAGAAAAAAGGAAGTGAAGCAGCTGGATCACAAACTGGAGTCCATATGGGATCTTGGTACTTGCAGTGGGGGGATTAGCCAGTTGAGTCATTGTGTAGGGGCCCCAGAATGAGATTTTTTAAAAAATCTGGCACGTGCAAGATGAGGATTGGGCAGCTCTTGGCTTTGGATTTGCACAGCTCTGGCCATTGTGGCAGGTTGGGGAGTGGATTAACAAACGGAAGGTCTTCCAATCTCTGCTTCTCTCTATGTATCTGACTTTGCAATAAAAATAAAATAAATCTGGGCCTGGTGGCATGGCCTAGTGGCTAAAGTCCTCGCCTTGCACGCCCCGGGATCCCATATGGGTGCCGGATCTAATCCTGGCGGCCCCACTTTCCATCCAGCTCCCTGCTTGTGGCCTGGGAAAGCAATCGAGGACGGCCCAAAGCTTTGGGACCCTGCACCTGTGTGGGAGACCCGGAAGAAGTTCCTGGATCCTGGCTTCGGACTGGCATAGCATCGGCCGTTGGGGTCACTTGGGGAGTGAATCATCAGACAGAAGATCTTCCTCTCTGTCTCTCCTCCTCTCTGTATATCCACCTTTCCAATAAAAATAAATAAATCTTAAAAAATAAAATAAAGTAAATCTTTCTAAAAAAGGACTTTGTGTATCTACTTGATTATTAAGTAAAAATTCTAAAATATCCTAAATTCAATTACAAGGAGACTGGAGTGTGGGGTGGAGATAAGGGAAGTTATTCAGCTTACAACTGAAATGAAAAAAGACAATGTTGAAACTTTGACTTAAATCTCATCACAATGTTAAGGTCCTCGCCTTGCACGCCCAGGATCCCATATGGGCGCCGGTTCTAATCCCAGCAGCCCTGCTTCCCTTCCAGCTCCCTAACTGTGGCCCAGGAAGGTAGTCGAGGACGGCCCAGGACTTTGGGACCCTGCACCCGTGTGGGAGACACGGAAGAGGTTCCTGGCTCCTGGCTTCGGATTGGCTTTGTTTTTTGCGCTTACTTGGGGAGTAATCATTGGAAGGAAGATCTTCCTCTCTGTCTCTCCTCCTCTCTGTATATCTGACTTTGCAATAAAAATTAATAAATCTTTAAAAAAATTCTTTATGACTAATGGGAGCTAATTAGAAGAGCAGTGCAATGTGGGAGGAAAGAACTTTATATTACCATTTTTGTTAAAGTTTTTGAGGTGAGAAGGAGGGTGTGTTTGTGTTCGGGGCAGGGGGAGGTTATTTGCAGAAACTGCAATCTACAGTGGCTAGGGGAGTGGGTAGGAGACATTATTTGGAGAGTTACAGCTCATACGATGCATAACGTTTAATTTTTATCTTAAAAACCATGAAAATCCCTCAGAAGTTGATTTTTTGTTGTTGCTTTCAAAAAAAAAAAACAAATATGAGACACTTCACAGATTTGCATGTCATCCTTGCACAGAGGTTATGCTAATCATCTCTGTATTGTTCCAGTATAAGTATATGTGCTGCTAAAACAAGGACCCCAAAAAATAATTTTTTTACAGAATTGTATTTCTGAAAGCCAGAGTGAAGGAGAGAAACATCCATCTTCTGGTTCATTCCTCAAATAGTTGCAACAGCCTGGGGTTTGGCCAAGTACTTGGACCATCTTCCACTGCATTCCCAGGCACGTTAGGAGGAAGATGGATCAGAAACGGAGAAGCTGGGACATCTGGGATGCAGGTGGTGGTTTAACCTATCGTATCACAATGCCAGTGAGCTCAGGGCAGTTTGAGGTAAGAGAATGGCACAATCCAATTTGGTTTTCTAACAGTTACCTTCTGTTATTTTCAGAAAAGCTGAGACCTGACACGTTGAGGGAAGAAAAGGACATGCTGTTTCGAGCCACTATCTTGAGCCATTCAGTAGATGCTGGAGTCAAGAAGAAGAGGATTAGCATAGCTGAGAGGAGGAGAGGACTCAAAATAGAACATGTTGTATTGAAGTTGCTAAGAAACCTTGAAAAGAAATTTTATATGGTTCAAGGTTTACAGATAAAACTTGATTAGCTACTCTCAAATACAGAGTCAAGGTGAAAAGGGAAATTCTCATACAAGTTAAAGTAGACGTCAGGGCCTGGCACGGTAGCCTAGTGGCTAAAATCCTTGCCTTGCACATGCCGGGAGCCCATATGGGTGCTGGTTTGTATTCTGGTGGCCTCACCTCCCATCCAGCTCCCTGCTTGTGGCCTGGGATGGCACAAAGTCTTGGGACCCTGCACCTGGATGGCAAACCTGGAAGAGCTCCTGGCTTTCAGCTTCAGATTGGGGCTTCAGATCAGCACAGCATCGGCCATTGTGGTAAATAGGGGAGAGAATCTTCGGACGAAAGATCTTCCTCTCTGTCTCTCCTCCCCTCTGTGTATCTGACATTGTGACAAAAACAAAATAAATCTTAAAAAGAAAAAAAAATACACTTCAGAAAATGACAATTTGACTTTTATCTTTAAATTTTATTGGAAAATCAAATTTACAGAGAGAAGGAGAGATAGCTTGTCCATTCATTGGCCCACACCCCAAGCGTCTGCTACAGCCAGAGTTGAGCAGACCCGAAGCCAGAAGCCTGGAACCTTTTCTGGGACTCCCGGACGGGTGCAGAGTACCAAGGTCTTGGGCCATCCCAGACTACTTTCCCAGGCCACAAGCAGGGAGCTAGATGGGAAGTGGGGCCACCAGGATTAGAACTAGTGCCCATATAGGATCCCGGCATATTCAAGGTGAGGACATTAGCCACTAGGCTACCACACCAGGCCCCAATTTGACTTTTGATACTTGTCAAATAAACAGGTCATCAAGGGCCCGGCGGCGTGGCCTAGTGGTTAAAATCCTCGCTTTGAACATGCCCAGGATCCCATATGGGCGCCGGTTCTAATCCTGGCAGCCCCACTTCCCATCCAGCTCCCTGCTTGTGGCCTGGGAAAGCAGTGGAGGATGGCCCAAAGCCTTGGGACCCTGCACCTATGTGGGGGACCTGGAGGAAGTTCCTGGCTCCAGGCACCGGCCACTGGGGAGTGAATCATCAGATGGAAGATTTTCCTCTCTGTCTCTCCTCCTCTCTGTATATCTGACTTTGTAATAAAAATAAATAAATCTTTAAAAAAACAGGTCATCAATTAAAAATTACAGTATTTGTTGAAGGAAGGGGAAAAGGAGGCCAGCAGGGAGATTGATTCTGTTTCTACATTTTACTCCTATGTATCAAAACTGTCAACCAAGAACAATTAATCATTTGCAAATTGAAAAAACACCTACAGGCTTAGAGTTCAAGCGGATACTTGAGGTAATGAGAGTGCTTTTCCAAGCCTGAGAGTCCTCTGCTATCTTGCTTAAACATTCCAGGTTAAATTGGCAGAGTCTTGTAATTTTCTATATAAGCTTGATTTTTTCAGAGCATCATGAGTTTTTCCTTTCAGAGATTTTAAGTCCAAAACTTCAACTGTGATGTAAGCTATGGATTAATTTTTGACACAAGTAAGCTCTATAATATATTACTTATTTGAAAGGCAGAATAAAAGAGACAGAATCTCTTTTTTATAAAGATTTATTTATTTTAATTGGAAAGGCAGATATACAGAGAGGAGAGACAAGAGGAAAATCTTCTGTCCAATTGTCCATCCAAGCGGCTGCAATGGCTGGAGCTGCACCAATCCAAAGCCAGGAGCCAGAAACTCAGGTCTCCCATTCAGGTGCAGGGTCCCAAGGCTTTGGGTAGTCCTCTACTGCTTTCCCAGGTCACAAGCAGGGAGCTAGATGGGAAGCCAGACTGCCGGGATTAGAATCAGAACCCATATAGGATCCTGGCACATTCAAGGTGAGGACTTTAACCGCTACACTATCGCGGCAGGTCCCAGAGACAGAATCTTCCATCTGCTGGTTTACTCCCTAAGTCAACAGCCAACTAGGAGCAAGGAACCCCATCCAGGTTTCCTTCATGGATGGCACGGATCCAAGCACTTGGCCCATGTTTTCACTGCCTTCCTGGGTGCAGGAAGCTGGATTGGAGGCAGTACAGCTAGGTCTAGAGTCAACACTTTTACAGGATTCTGGTGCTACAGTAGTAACTTATCTTGCTGTACCACAACACTGGCTCCTACAGAAGCCTTACCATGCCTTATCATGGGAAATCACGCACACACGAAATAGCACAATCAATTCCCAAGTACTTATCAACTGGCTTTACCCACTACTACAAGCTGCCTGATCCTGAAAAGACATATTTTGCAAATAATTGCATTTTAATTTATAAACATACTATCTATTCACTGATGAAAATAGACGCAGAAAGAAAATTTGTATTAGTCATAGTCTGAGCCTTTTTAGCAGGACTGTCAGTAGTCTAATTGGTGTTTCTGAACACTTTAGAAAAAGGTGCCCATCCTTTGAACATGTGGTCCTGTGCTCAGACTGCATGGCTAGGAATATAAACTTGATCTTTCCCTCAATTTCACTCTACCCTGGCGAATCTTCCTTCTGAGACCCAACATGCCCACTGAACATGGTAGTCCCACCTTCCCTTCTCCACAAAGGGAAATCTACATTTATATAATTAGGAAGATACTATGTGCTTTTACTTACTTATTTGCATATCAGATTGATTTATATTACATGAAAGAGTTACAGAGAAAGAGAGAGAAACAGAGACACCTCACATCCATTAGTTGGCTCCCCACATGCCAGCCATGGCCAGAGCTGAGCTAGGCTGAAGCTGAGAGCCAGGAGCTTCCTCCAGGTCTCCCCCATGGATGCTGAGACCCAAGGCTTTGGGAGATCTGCTGCTTTGCCAGGCCATAAACAGGGAGCTGGATGGGAAGTGGAGAAGCTATAACATGAACTGGCACCCATATGGGATGCCAGGACTGCAAATAGATTAGTTTGCTATGTTATCATGCCAGCCCCAATAAATATTTTTGAAAAAGAAAAGCAGATGTACATATTGGCAAGCACAAAACCAGGACAAGGGGTGGGCCAGGTAGGTGTTATTGTGGGTCACTCCAACTAGGCTGCAGCTCCCACTGGTGTGCATGAGGGAGAAGTGTGTGGTGGGCAGGATTGGGATGGGCTCAACACCCACTGGTTTGTGTACAAGACAGGGCTAGAGAAAGAATTGATCCAGCAATTGCAACCATCAGTATGTGCATAAGCTGGTTTTGGCCACAGATTGTGCTAGACCCTATATTGGCAAGTACATACAAGAATCAGGTCTGGTGTCACTTCAGATAATGTTTCTTTGGGGATCCCTCCACCTGAATTGCTGGACTCAGACCCCAACCATGGAGAAAATTGCAGGTTCCATGGTCTGACCGTGGAGTGCATGTGTCAGAGTGAGACTCCTTAGTGGCCTAGATGGAGCAGTCGACAGAATATGCAGGTGCACATGAAGGATATGGCAGTCCATTGGAGCCTATAAAGCACACCTGATACCATAAAAGAGGGCAGAGGACAGAACAAATTGATCAATTACCTCAGCCACGTGTTGGCAGTGAATATCAGGGCAAACCGAGACTCTAAGGTGGACTATGTCTGTCAGCCGGTGGATTCTGGAGAGTTTTCATCATGCTTGGAGTAGTGAATTGGCAGTAACTCAGAATTGTTGAATTATCGAAGCCTCTTGAGCAGGACCCTTGCAGTATGACCCATATTGGGAATCCTGGGATGGTCAGGTGGCTGTCCCCCATCCCAGGATATGGAGGCATTTGGGAGGCTGGGTATAGCTGCTCTCCTTGTCCCGCCTCTTCCCCTAGATACAGGAGGGAAAAAGAGAGAGAATGTGGAAATGGAAATCTTATCCACTTTCCTATGGACCTTGACCCTACTACCCTAATCAGCTATGTAAAAGTCATCAAAAATAAAAATAATTATCTTAAAAAAAGAAAAAAAAAGCAGAATTAGACAGAGAGAGAGAGAGAGAAAGACCTTCCATCTGTTAATTATTTCCCAAACGGCTGCAACAGCCAGGGCCCCAGCCAGGGTTAAAATCAGGAGCCTGGAACTCCATCCAGATCTTGTTGGCAGGAGCCAAAGCAGTTAGGTCCATCTTCTGCTGTTTTCTCAGGTGATCAGCTGGGAGCTGACGCAAAAGTGAGGCAAGTGGTACTCTAACTGACGCCCTTGAATGATCCCAGCATCTCAAGCAGTGTCTTAACCTACTGCACCATGATGCTAGCTCCTAGACAGTTTTATAACCTTTTTCAACATTAATGTTTCATTCATTTTTTTCCTTTTCAATATTGGATGCTAAAAATACCACTTTAATAAAGGATTTACTTATTTTCCTGAAAGTCAGGGTTACAGAATAAGATAGAGTATCTTTTATCTTCTGGGTGACACCCACAGATGGCCACAACAGCTGAGGCTATGCCATGGCTGAAGCCAGGATTTAGGCACTCTGTCTGGGTCTCCCACATTGGGGACTGTGGCCAAGCACTTGAGCCATCCTCCGATGCTGTTCCTAGGCCACCAACAGGGAGCTGGAGCATAAATGGA